TACTGGTTTTTAGATGAGAGTCCATGGAAGTAAATCTAGAACTTGCAAAGTTAAATTATAAATCATAGCATTGTAAAGGAGTAAAACATAGTAATGAACCAATTGCAAATTGATAGCTTTAATTTAATTTGTTGACTTACTGAGTAAATTATTAATTACATTTTGTATTTTTAAGAAAAAAAATTATAAACAAGTTTAGTAAATTATTTCATATTTTATATTATTTGTGATAATAAAAAAATTTTATATGGTCGAAAATTTGACCTTACCAATTAGGACGATTTAAGTTATCCTCGGTTATCTACTATCTATTAAATATAATTTTCAATCATGAAAACTATTAAAAATTTTAACATTTGTTATTGTTAGTTTTGGGAAGTTTGCCTTTAAATGAGAAGGTAACTTTATGTGTCAAAACATACAATATTTTGTTAACCAAATGCTCGATTACTAGCGCAGATTGCTCGTCCATTAAAACCATGAAATAAGTTTCAAATTTTTCAGAGTTTACTACGTGAGTTATGAGGAGCCACAGTTCAGTAAATAATTTTGGTTCGTGCGCTTGTAGTTGTGGTAAAAGCATGTCTGGATTGCGTAATACACCTTTGAAGTGAATTCCATAGCAGCTTAAATCATTAAAACAGGGCTGTAAAGTAAGTGTTAAGTTTTCGAACATTGGTCGAGTGGTCAATGCTTCAAGACAATTTTCTAGGCATTCATAAGCGTACCTATTTTCACAAGCAATATTAATTGTTTTATTATTGCGCATTATACCATAAAATTTTGGAGTAATATTCCTCTGTACTTGGTGCCTAGTAATCCAATTAAATATTTCCATTTGTATAAACTCATATGTGTGCGTCGCCATGCTATCGTTATTTAAGGCAATTATGCAAGGAAAAATATTCCATTTGCTGCAACCAAATATGAGGGATTCGTGCTGTAGTCTTTCAAGTAGTAATGAAATTTCATGATCAAAAACTTCCTTAATACGTTGGATATTTTTCTTGCTTAGTGGAACATTTGGATTATATTTTAAGATGTTTGATAACTTCAAGCGTTTTGTTGAAACATCACTTAATTTCAATAAATGTCCGTTTGAAGAGAAATGAAATGACGGTGCTGGTGGCGGTGGTGTTGATCTATCTGGAGAATGAAATGTAATTGGCGAATGTGTACGTCTTTTTTTCGATGTGTTGTTACTATTTACATTTTGGGTAGTTATAGTTACTGCTTATAAGTTTTATGTATTTTAAATTTAATTTAATTTATAGGATTTGTGATTACTTACCTTTTGCTTTTCTTTTATTAGTAGCTTCCAGCGCTGCTAAAGAACCCATGGACTTAGAGTTCTGATTAGAACATTTGATTTGTTCGTTTTTTTGATGCCCTACACCGTTTCGATTTCGTTTTAATTCCACACAAATTGGTTCCGTAATACCTTCACCACATGTTCCAAGACCGGTACCTGCCATATAGCCCATTTTTGTCATTAGTTGAAAACCTTTGTTTTCGGGTGGTATAGGTGTGTGAAGAGCTTCTTTTAGTTTAGTGTCATAAATATCGTTTAATGTACCATTCTTCTTAGCTGCTTTAACTCTTCTTTTTCTTGATTTAGTAGAAGTTGTAACTGCTGCTGGTGTTTCCTTACCGATTTGAGGATTCACTGTGTTTGTATTGGCGTTATCCGTCTTTTTTTCTACTAAACATTTTATTGTTGAATTTGCTCCTGAAGTATTCGTTGGTATATTGTTAACAATATCACTACACGAACCCATTTCGACATCCAGATCCATCACAAATTCGTTTTCTTTTTTGATCAAGATGGATTGTGATATACCATTTGTGTTGACTGAGTATTGGTTAATAGGCAAACATTTTATGTTGTTGTTTTCTATATTTTGGATATCCAAATTAGGTAATTGCTTAACTGACTTCTTAGTGGTTGTTTCTACATCATTAGATTTAATAATAATTTTGGTGTTTGTATTAGGCTTGTGAAGTACTTCTCTTAATTTATTATTATCAATATCAATTGACTTAGTATTCGTGGTTTTAATTCTTTCAACCACATTAGCTTGTTCAATCTTTTTTACAAGTGAGTGTTCTGCTACAATTTCTGTTTCAATTTTACTAAATTCATTACATGGAATCATTTCTAACAATTCGGCTTCGTAGTCATTGGAATTAAATATATTATTTATTTCTTCATCGATCGAAGAGGCTCGTGATATGGCACTAGTATTAAGAGAGACTTGGTCAATACCTAAATAGCTTTCGTTATTATTTTGTGTGCTTTCTATATCCAAGTTTGGTAACTGTTTTACTGATTTTTTAACACAGGGGGTAACTGAAAATGAATCGGTGTCCTTTATGTCTATAACTTTGCGGAGTGACGAAACAGTGTTTCCGAATAGTTCATCGCTGTCAGTATAATGCGTGCTTATTGCATTAGTTGCAATTGCATTATTATGAATAGCAAATATGTATGAAAAACTGTCAACATCATCGTTATCAATCTTCTTTTCGAAGATTGACTTCTTTTGTATGGTATTGAAAAAATTGTGTTTCTGTTTATAATTGGAATTTGCTAAAAATTTGTTTTGCTCTTCAACATTATCTTTCGGTAATGAAAAATTATTCAAGGAATTGGTTATATTTTCTGTTGTATATCCATCTCCGGGATCAAGGATCTCTTGATTTGCGACGGTTTTGTTGTTTTCATCTTTCAACTTTTTCAACAAAAAAATAGAAGAACATAAAAAACAATTATTTTTTTATATTTACCTTTGTGTTCTCACATGTGATCAAATCATTATTTTTATTAACATCTTGTTCCATATTAGTCCCAATGTTAAACACTTTGCTTAATCCAGCGTCTTCTGTATTGGTGGAATGGCCATTATAGTTTGCATTGGCATTAGTTGGACACATCTCCAGTAAGTAGAAAACATACAATTATTAATCAGAAATGGTATAATAAGAAATATAAAAAATAGCTTACGATTTCATTATTGTTTATTCCAAAAGCTGAAATCTGATTATTCCCTGTGTCGCTGAGTTTTTGGAACTTTTCATACTTGTTGCAGTTTTCATCTTCATTTTCAAATTTTTCCATGTTTGCATTCAAATCAAATAATTTATTTAAATCAATGCTTTCTGGATTGTCAGTATTTGCATTTCTTTTATCACTGACAATAGTTGGACTCCTTTGTAAAACCTTTGCGTAGATAAAGTATTTTGAAAAAAAGAAAAACAATATGAATTTATCAAATTACAGCTTACGTTTTCGTTATTAGTTTTTAGAATTTCCTTCATTCTACAATCCTTCGTGTCCACGAGTTTTTCCATATTTCTCTCCATTTAACAAAAATTTTATTGCATTCAATATAAAATTTATTTAATTACTATTGACATATTCTGTTGTTTTATTCGATTGCGCACATTTTTTTTTGTTTGATCTTTTGAATATATATAACTTCACGATGAAGTTTTAATGATCTACATGTGGTAAGCGTAACATTGAATATAGAATAACGGTTCCTGTTTTTTTTTAGCTCTTTTCATATGCCATCATGGTGTTGCGAAATAAAAATATTAAATTTAAAATTTAGAAAACCATAAGCACATTGACCAGTGTTGCAAAAGAATTGTACATTCTTGCGTATAACTAGCACATTTAAAATTATTGATCATTACAGTCATTTTAAAATGCATCAATAATTGCAAAAAATTCAATTGTACTCTATAAAATTTATTGTGACTTAAATGACTCTTTTGTATGAATTGAATACTGAATAAATTTATTGAGAGTATTATAACATTTATAATTAATATCAAAAGTTGTGTTAATATTAGGCGTTTTCGTTGGCTGGTAAGTATAGCAAAAAATAAGAAGTTGCTGGCCTATACTGGCCGAAATGTACGCAAAACAACAAACTATTTTCTCTATCTAGGCCAGTAGTTGTATACTGGCTACACACTTCGGCCAATAAAGAATAAAGTGTTACCAACGCAATAGGCAAACTATTATGAACCTTTGGAAAATTGGAAACTCCAACGAATATTGCAGTTATATGTCAAAAATTATATGTTAATGAAAATTCAAACCAAATTCATAAATTAAAATTTATGTTTAAAATTTTCAACATTTTTACAATTTTTTTTAATTCTGTATTTATTTTACTTTCCAATTTATACGAATTATTTATTTTTATACAAAATGAAATTTTCTTGAAATATGTGCACATATGCAAAATTTGCTATTTACCAAAACATAACACTTAACAGATTGCAGCAGTGTTAATTAAATATTGAATATGTTTATCAAAAACATAGAGATTTATTTTTTCCCGTAATTTTTTCTTTCAGTTGTAAAAAAAACATCTTTAGGTCTTGTTGAAACAAATTGGCATCACTTTTAAAAAATGTTATGCTTTTTTGTGACATTTGTTTTGTTTTTGTGTTGTGTTACAATATGAAATATGAAAATTGTAAACATTAATAATTAATTAATTTAAATAAAAGAAAACAAAATGAATAATAGAATGGTAATGGTAAGCATTTTTTATCTTATTGTTTTGATATATTGTAATTGATTATTTCTGCTCATGCAGATTTAAACGGATGATTGGAATGTTGCAACAATAGACTGATTTTTGAATTTGACTGCACTAAAAATAAAGACGTAAAAATTTTTGCGAGTAAA